GGGGGGCGGGGGCTGCACTGTCAGAGGTTGCTTCCAAATTAAATTATTCTGCGAGTCTGAAAGGAGAAATTGTGCAGTACCTCAATTTAAAAAAAAAAAAAAATTTCCTAGTGAAATCTAGAAATTGAAATGCTTTAGATCTAAAAATGCCAAACTGTAAATACATTGAGTGGAGAAAACTATTCAAAAAGTTAGTTGACCAATAGTGTGGGTTTAAGGAGTGATAAGGATGGGAAGTGTTGATTTTTGTTTTATTACTGCACAGCTCTTTTGCTAGAAGTGTGCTGGAAATAGACCGACTGCTTTTTAGGACACATCAAACTACCAAAAGATTTGACTGCAGTCTTTTAAAAATGCAAATAAATACTTTGCTCTATCATCTTTTTATATATGTTGTGTATGTCTCAAATTATTTTCCTTTCTTCTGTTCTACTACTTTTACAAAGTATTCCATGATTATAAATACCTTCTGGGTGACAAAAACATTGCTATCTGTCCTGATACAACTAGATGATGGCTTCTCCCAACATACATAGGTGTGAACCCTGTTTTTCCTGTAGCAGCACTCTCTAGTGAAATAGAGAAGGAAAGGTATTAACAGCGAACAGTGTTAATACCTTTGACTTCTTGATGTATTTTATTGAGCCTGCTATGGTCAGAAAAAAAAGGCAAGTAAAAACACTTAAAAACAATTCAGATGTTCTCTCATACTTGAGTAGGCAGACAAAACTCAATCAAAACGTCTACTTGTTTCAAGAGCTTTGTGAAAGATTTTTTAAGGCTCTATTCTGGACAGGGTGGTGTGGACCTACTGAGGTTCAACTCAAGGTCTTACCCTAATGGTTTTCAGTCTTCAAGAATTCATGGAGTCTATTGTGTAAGACCAGTTCCTGACAACACAGGTCTGTCTTACATTAAACAAAACCTCATACTTCCTTGAAATAGCTAAGCCTGTGCTTGAGCCCTTCACTGACCTGAAGCCTTATGAAGGGACTGGTAGGTATAAACTGATAGGTTTATACCTACAGTATAAGCACTACATAGCATCTAAAATCATAAATCATTCCTTCCCCCCGCCCCTAGTCCTGGCCAGTTGATAGGTTAACAGTTCTCTTTCTGTGATGTGCTTTGCTTTCCTACCTACTGTGTATTAAAGAAACAAGGAATCTTTTTTTAGTCTGGTCTTGTTTACCAAAAGGCAGCTGTTGCATTCAGCTGTTACTGGGTTTTTTTTTTCATTAAAATAGCTGCTCACTCTTTCTCAAATCCACTGATAGGCTAAAGACATTGACATCTTACTGCATGTTTGTATGTAAACTTACAGGGTGACTTCTGGTTGCATGGGGAAAAAAATGCAACTGCAGTTTCTCTTTCTGTGAAGGGAAGCAGCTGTTCCTTGGTCTTCAGATGCAGCAAACCTGTGTGTGCTTAAAAATTACTGCCTTCTCTCATGGTTTGGTGTGTGGTGTAGCTGTTTCTCTAGTAACAGACTACTGTGTATTAGGAAGTTCTAAGTGTTGGTTTGTATTTTGCTTGATTACCCAAGAGTCAAGTCATAAGAATACTCATCTTTTCAGTTCCCTGCTTTGTTTATGCAAAATAAACATTCTCATCATAGCAGAAATAACATGGTATACTCTAAAAAAAAATTTAAAAAATCAGTCACAATAGTCCAGTGTTAATTTTAATGGTTATAGATACATCTTCTTTTTCAGTATCTAGTTCAGACACTCTAAATGCAAAAACTTTTCCTAATACATTTCAGTTGTCTTCTGTTCACCTGTTCTGTTTGGCCCAGAGTGAGTGATGAGAAGGCAATGTTTTGTATTTGGTAAAATTTCATCTTTGCTTACACTGTTGTTCTATACTTAGTTTTGTGGTTTTAGGGAAATAATTTTAGGTCATCAGCAGTCATTTTTCTGATTACAGAAATAGCCTTTATCCACTAATTACGTGTTTATACTGAGAAACAAGTCAGAAAAACACTTAAGAATAGAAGTATGCTAGAAAAGAGAATTTGTACTGCGGGAAGAAATCATATATATGTGCAACAGTCCTCCCCCCACTGTCTTAGCAAGTTCAGATTAGTAGACACAATAACCTATAGATCTGTATAGGAGATGTTGGTATCTAAGTCACCAAGCTGAGATAGTATGAGACCTTTGGAGTTCATCTAGTTCAGCCCTCTGCTCAAAGCAGAGTCACCTAGAGCAAGTTGCTCAGGGCCATGTCCGGTCAGAGTTTGCGTATCTACAAGGATGGAGGCTCTGCAACCTCTCTGGGCAACCTGTGCCAGCATGTGGCTACCCTTAAAATAAAAGACTTTTTCTTATGTTCAGAAAGAACTCCACAACATTTAAAAAACTCCGAACAACATTAGCAGCAACTTGATCCTTGCTGCTTTTTGATACAAATTGAAGAGTCATAAAACCTGATTCAGTTAACATCTCAATTAATTGCTGGAGGTTTGCAAGAGATGTGGTTACTGTTCACCTGGTGGCATGCTGCTTAATCTGGAAAAATTCCAGTTGTGGTTAATAAACATTTGCCAGGATAGAGCCTAGATTGTTTATTTTAATAATTTGAAATAACTGTAATATACTTATTTATTTACATTTCTTTCTCTTTTTAACTGTTTACTTGATCTTCATGTACTCAGCATCCACATCTGTTTGCTGAGTGAGCCAGGATCAGAGGACACGCAGCAGCGTGTGGATTCTTCATTTCTAGATACTTGCATAAAAAGCCTGGAATGGTACAGGTAGATGAAGAGAGCACAAATCTTGATCAGCCCAAGAACAGTTCCAGGGAAATATATATATTGGTTTTTCTCATTCATCATGGTGTCTTGTCTTCACTAATGAAAAGGGATTAATCTTTAACATATGTAAGGGTCACAGGAAACTGAGGTGGTGATTTGCTGCTTCTGCTAGAGCAATACTGAATCGATTGTCTAATCAGAAGTAATATAATTATATTAACAGGCTGTGAATTTTTTTAGGTTAATGAGCAGGAACAGAGTTGTCAGTGTTTTTTCAGTAAGTGTAGCACGGAAGCCAGCTGTTACTTATAAATGACATAATTCAAGCCTTAGCATGTGTGAAAATAAATAAATAAATAGTCCCCTTAGTTTTCATCAACAGGCCCACTACATCTCCTCAAACTTGAAGTTTATTAACTATTACAAAGTCATTTTGTAAGATGTAGTGTCTTTACTGTCTGTATGTAAAGCCCAGCCACTGCTGAATAGCAATTTTGTCAATTTCCAAGGTGTTTGATAACAAAAACCATTGAAGAGATCAAATTCAATAACCGCATGTCTGTGATGGATCCCAAATGCCTTGTCTGGGCTTTAGCTCAGCTGTAACCCTTGCAGCACCTGCACTGCTGGAGACTCTTCTGATGCTGGTCAGCATGGGCGTGCTGGGGGACTGACTGAGATGGTGGCGCTCTTTGCCTGGGTAAGGGCAGACATTCCTGGCTTTGACATGAGTATTTTCCAGGAAATACCTCATTCCTTTGCTGTCACCTCTGCAGCCTCAGCAAAAGCGAAGATGAGATTGCAGATCTCTGCTTGAATTCTGGGTAACTCAGAAGTAAAATTGCATATGGCTAGTGAGTCTAGATGCTCCCACAAGAGTAAAAATGTGTTTATCAGAAAATGCTAAAGCAGTTGCAGCTTGAAGTATGAGTAGAATAAAGTTTTATATTTTGCTGTCATCCTGATATGTTATGCAACTAAGAATTGGTTCTTTGAAGGACTGTTATCTAAATGAAACTGAGCTGAACCTTGAACTCACTGTGGAGCAAATATATATCATTTGAGGTAATAAAGATTCATTATACCCTTACATTCTTCTTGTATATGATTAAAAAGTTAGGCATGATGCTGCCTGAGCCCAAAGCTTTCCGGCTGGTCTGTTATAGCTAAGAACAGATTTCTGAAGTCATGACCCTGCTTTTCTTAACTATTGTCTTTCCTGGGTGATTAGTTGATTACTCATGCCTTGTGCTCAAGGGTGAAGTAATGCTTCCTGAGTTGTCTTTTTTATTTATTTTGTAATCTGTTACTTATTGTCTTAAATCCACTAGCTCTGTGTGTGTGTGTATCTATCCATCTATCTATCTATTCATCTTTGTTTTCTTGTCTGTAAGAAGAATCCTATTGAGGTCTTTATGAGTATCCAAGAATATTGAAATTCAGTTTTCACCGTTCAGCCTGGTTTTTATCTCTAAGTCCTTTGCTCTTTCCTGTGTTGGTACATTATTGCATCATGCTTAAGTGTTAGATAACCATAGAAAAGTCTGAAAAAGACAGAGATCATGTCTCTGAAGCATTCTTTAGGTTTAGGGATGCCTTTTCTCATAGGAGAGATGGGTTTAAGCTGAAGGAGGGTCGATTTAGATTAGATGTTAGAAAGAAATGCTTTACTGTGAAGGTGGTGAGGCACTGGAACAGGTTGCTCAGAGAGGTTGTGGAGGTACCATCCCTGGAAGTGTTCCAGGCCAGGTTGGATGGGGCTTTGGGCAACGTGGTCTAGTGGAGGGTGTCCCTGCCTGCAGCAGGGGGGTTGGAACTAGATGATCTTTGAGGTCCCTTCCAACCCAAACCATTCTATGATTCTACGATTCTTCTAGGTTGCTGTTTGTCTGCTGCTCCCAGACTTCCTTCTGTACTATCCCCAACCAAATACTTGAAAGTAAGCAAGCTCCAATGTTTGACAGTGGAAATTTATTTTGTTAGGAAACTAGCATACTTAGCATGGATTTTTCTCAAAGTAATTTGGGGGAATTAAAAAGCTGGCAGAGTTATCTGTTGTAATCATAGATGGTAGCCCCGCATTTGTTGTTATGGCAGCAGCACATGCTACAGAAGAACCTTAATCTCCTCGGCCAGTCAAAGCAGTGGGCTGTAACCAAGCATTGGCCTCACAGCAGCTTAGCAGATAGCATATGCATGTTCCTACCTTATAACCATATCAGAAACTGCAACCCTTTACTGTTACTTAAAATATATCAGATAGCAGTTTGGGGTTTGTTTATAATTACAACATCTGTGGGCTGTGGCAGCCTGATCTCTCATACAGATGCCCAGCAAGTGATACTGTATGTGGAAGTAATGTTATTGGAGAGTGTCACCTTGGATAGTAGAATAAAAATGAACATCTAACATGATGAATAAAAAAACCCACAGCTACTTACAGTTAAAAAAGCCCCCAGCCACCAAACTGCCATAACAATGTAATATGCTATTATGAAGGTGAAAGCAAATTTGCAAGAGACTCATTAATCTGCATGGCATGAATGCTTGAGTAAAAGAAGGGAGTAAAAAATAACAGAGATTAAATAACTTTCCCAATTAATTAATTAATCTGTGGCTTCTCTTATACTTTCTGAAGTATTTTTATCTTTCATTTTGAGTTTGAATTTGTCGTGTTATACTGGTTCCTTCAGGTGCAAAAGTTTTACTGAAAACACACAGCATTACAAGAGACGAAGCTCTTCTGACAAAGGGTGGATGATGGCGAACTCCTGACACGGAGACAAATGAGCAATTCATCTAGTCAGTGTTGAACTTTTATAATGTGTCTGTTGGACAAATACAAGGTCACTTCAACTGGTCTTTCAGAAAACAAAACCAAACTAGCCATTCCAGAAAAATAACAGCAGGGAGTACCTCTTAGTCTTGCAATTTGTTTGGCATAAAGCACTAGATGGCTAATGTGTAATTTTTTTCCCCTCCTGTAGGTGCCTGAGATTATAAGCTCTATTCGACAAGCTGGAAAAATTGCTCGTCAGGAAGAGTTTCAGAATAATCTCTCAGATGTTGAAGATCCTTTTGCCAAGAAGTTTGAGGTGCTGTTCTGTGGACGGGTGACAGTAGCACATAAAAACGCACCTCCAGCACTCATAGATGAATGCATTGAGAAATTCAATCGTGCAAGTTGTACAAAAAAATCAGATTTCAATTCATCATCCCAACAACATGAAACTGCCAATAACTTTGGAGGCTTCTCTCTCAGCAACAAATTTCGGTCTGTCTTCCAGCCCTTGGTCAGTGAAGAGGAGGAGAAAAGGCCAATTAGGAAATCCTTTTCTCAGCCTGGGCTTCGTTCCTTTGCTTTTAAGAAGGATTTGCAAGAGGGAAGCCAAAGGAGTAACAGCTTTGTCAGATCTTTTGAAGAAGATGCAATTTCACTGAACCTAAAAAGTCAACTTGTCTATGGACACAGTGTTGTGCAGCCAACAGACATTGCAGAAAACCGGACGATGTTGTTTACGGTAAAGCAAGATTTGCAGCTCTTGGTGATGTTTTCACATCTTGGAGTTTGGAGTGACAAACTCCAAACAAGATGTTCTGACAGATGGCAGTTACTTCTTTAATAACTTAATTGCAATTACCAGAGCTTAATTTAGACTCACCTATTTCTCTAGAAATCATTACCAGTCACTGTAAATTGTTTCACATAGTCAAAATAAGTTTATATTAAATAGTTTAAACCAGCGCTACCCGAAACATTGGGCTTCTAACGACAGCTTTTAGAAAGCTACAGCAAGTTAGTAGGTAGTTACGCTATTGCAAAATGTTATGTACAATTACACTAACTAGTAACAGCAGAAATAAATTTCCCGGTGAATGAGTTACAGGTAACTAGAGCAGAAGGACCAAACCATGACTAGGGGCTAGTAGACTTTATGTCCCATGATAAGCAGGGTAATTCATGAAAGCATTCCTGTGCCAACATGTCTGTGTAATGATGGAGTAATGTAGTCACTTCCTAGGCTACTACATACCTGCCTCCACTCCTGTCCTGCTTTTGTGTAGTTAGCAATGCCTTAGGTGAGCAGCAAAAGTTTTTTTCAAGACCTGTGAAATAAGTAAGGAATGTGTTATTTTGTTCCTCTTATAATCCTCATGATGGATAAGTTATATAAAATATTCTAAATATCTTGTATCTTATGAACATAATGCAAACCTGGACCTGATATTGCAATGGCTGGCTATCAGAAGGTCATCTTGGATCTGTCAGCTGCTGTTGAGGCTGGGAGTTTTTGAGGACAGTAACAGAGTTTTTTGGAGGGGGGAAAGAGAAGTGCTGCTTTAAGAAGGATTGCTAGAATGTTATGTCTGTAAAAAGTAACACACAGAAAGAGGTGTAGTTAGCTAGACCTCATTTAAAACTTTAGTCATGGCAGACTGGCATCAGAGAGAGAAGTGGAAGAAGGTGGAGAGAAATTTTGTGCTCCAGTAAAAACAATTCCATGTTTACCTTCTTCCCTTGAGCAGGTATTTCACACAGAAAATATAGATGTCCTTTATAATAATGCCTAATTTTTAAACAAATTCTGACTTCATTACTAATTCATGGCACATATTTTAGAGATAGGGAGATTATAGATGGACTGCTTAGGTCCAGATCCTCTTACTCCAGCGAGTGCGTTTTCAATTCATATTGAATAAATGCGACAGTTCTCAAAGACACATGCAGCTTCAGCCAGAATATAACATCAGTCACCTGCTGACAGGCTCATTTCCAAATTGTGGGACTCTGCTGATCTGGCTTTCTATCTTGGGTTGCTTTTTGCCTGGGAAAATATTGTTTATTAGGCACAGTTGTATTCTTTTGCCTTTCAGCTGAATATAAGGAAGTGAAGTAACTGTGGTTTGTGCCTCCGGTATCCACAAGCTAGCAGCTTGTGGTAGAGCTGAGTTTGTTGGTTAGCTATCCACCAAAAAAAGGTTCTGAGTAACGGTACGCACGCAGTGTGCACAGGTCTTTGCCTCTGCTCATCAATTTGTGTGTGGCTACATATAAAATGCTTAAAAGTAACTTTTTATCCAGAGAAAAAAAAATTGTTTGTATTTTCTCAGTTAAAGTTCTCACTTGGATTTTCCCCAGGACTGCAGAGGTTGGTTGCTGTATGAGGTGTGAAAAATGTTCAGATGAATTATCTGCTGACTCTCCTCACCTGGTTCAGACAGTCCTGATTTTGATATCTCTTCCAGAAGAACTACTTTCCTAGCCAATTTCTTAGGATTTTTTTTTTTTTTTTTTAATTTTTAGCATTTTCTCCTGGCTGTATTTTGGGTGGGTGGGGATTGGTTTGGTTTATTTTCCCTTATTCGCTTGGCTTTAAATGATCCCTGCTGCCCTGGGACCAAGCATGAAAGAAGTATGTGGGGCTGAGCTAAGAAGGAACCTCTCACTGCAGAGAGGGGAAGGCAGCAGTGAGCAGGAGGAGGCTGCTGAGTAGGTGTTGGAAGGATTAACCCCATGAACATGTGTGCAGTCAGCCCTGGGGACAATACCAGGAAACCAGCAGAGAGTTGGGAAAACTCGTTGTGACTGGTTGAAGTGAAAGAAGAGGTGGAAGGTGAATGCACAGGACCATTTTTAGACACACAGAGGTGGCACATCTCACTTGATCCATTCACACACAAGATTCCCCCCCCCCCCCCCCACAA